AAAAAAAAAAAAACAGGGAGTTGGGGATATAGCTTGCTTAGTAGAATTCTTGCCTTGGGTTCAATCCTCAGCACCACAAAAAGAAAAGAAAAAGAAAAAAAAACCTATAGATTCAGTGGCACCCAACCATAATCCCCGCTACTCAGGAGGCTGACATAGGAAGATGCCAAGTTCAAGGCCGGCCTGGGAAACTTAGCAAGGCCTTGCTAAAACAAAAAAGAACAAAAAACCCTCTAATAGGACTTAAATTGAAAATTAAACTGGTGATAATTTTCAGAACACAACATATTTCCATTTATACAGAACTTGTTTTATGGGGCTGGTTGTGGCTCAGTGGTAGTGTGCTTGCCTAGCATGTGTGAAGCACTGGATTTGATTCTCAGCACCACATATAAATAAATAAAATAAATGTCTGTCAACAACTAATAAAAAAATATATTTAAAAAAAAAGAACTTGTTTTACAATCTTTAATAATCGAATCTAGAATTTTTCATAAACATTCTTGCCTTTTTTTATTAAATTCACTTTCATGTATTTTATGGGTTTTTCACTAATATAAATGGATTCTTCCTCAGTGCTGGGATTGAACCCAGGGCCTCATTCATGCTAAGCATGCACTCCACCACCAGGCTACACCTGCAGCTCCTACTGGGATACTTTTCCTCTTTCCATTTCTTAGACTTACTGCAGTATAGAAGATATAGATTTTTATGTATTTACCCAATACTGGCCACCTTATCAAATTCTTTTTTTGTAATGCTTGTATTATCTTTTAAATCCCTTGGATTTTTCTATAAATACAATCCTATCAAAGGCATAAAAAGTTGTTTATCTCTTCCAATCTGGGTAATTTCATTTTCCTGTTTTCCTGTATTTATTAACCCCACAAAAAACAATAATGGTGATAGCAAACTCCGATCTGGTACCTTATCTTAACTAAAGATATTTTGGGAGTTGCCATTTAATAAAGGATTTTTTATTAAGTTTAGTAAATAAATTTGAATAAAAATGTTTTTGAGAGTAACTTTAGTAAACAACATTAGCAACTACTACTTCTTGGTCCTGAATCTTCTTGCATCAAAGTGTCCCCAAAATGCTCTCAAAGTTCCTTAAAGCCTCACCCACATATATGCATGAATGACTCATGCCCAGCCTGACTGGGACTCTTGGTGGCAAACCTGACCTGGGCAATACTGTCATCTTCATGCTAAGGATGTTCGTCAAGCCATATAAATTAGCTGACATCTCTGTGGACAATCTAGCCACAACACTGCTCTGCCTGATCATGTTGGGCTTATTAACCTTCTGCCTTCCTGTAGCCAATAAATCTAGTTTTTCCTTGCTGATTTTGCTGACTTTTCAGATTTGACAACTAAACTCCCACAGGTTAGTTCAACCAAACTTGTCCCTCTCCAATGAAGGTGCCTTCATTCTTGAGAATAATAAAAATAATAGGCACTTTATTTTTGGCTTTAGAACTATGACTTCCACATACATGTCTAATAAAAAAATCATTCAGTAAAAGGTTTTATTGGTAATTTTTTTTAACCAAAAAATTTATCTAAAATAAACTGTTTATCACTCTAGTTTCATCATTCCCAAACTTACCTGAATATCAAAATCACTTGGAAATGTTTTTAAAATTCCAAAAGCCAGGTAATACACCCCATACCAATAAACTCCCATCTCTAGAGTGGGACACAGCACTATCTTTTTGAAGCTCCCTTGGAGGTTTCAATGTGCAGACAAGTTGGGGACCAATGCTCTGATCAGACTTCACTGAGTTGAAAAGAAGCATTACGAAAGGGCAGCACAGACACCCCTGTTCTGTCATCACACCATTAGATCAAAAGCTGTCAACACACCTGGGGCAAGGAGCAAAGATCCATCAGGAGTAAAACTGAGTCTACGAAAGAAGGACTTCATACTGTCATCATGGAACATCCGGTAACTTCTTGCCTGTAGCATACAAAGTTTAAACATTACTCTAAATCTTTAAATAAAGATTTACACACTAAATCTTTACCATTTATTAACGATGTAATAATAAATAAAATTAAAACATATTACAAATCAAATAATCATGAGAACTGAATCTCTCTTTCTGTTAAGGAAAGTTATATACGTGCATCTGTATCTCCATATGTGTATATGTGTTTGTATAATAATTTTTTAAAACTCTGTATACATCCCACCCCACCACGGTGGTTTGTCTGGAGAGTGAGACTGGAGAGAAGCAGGAAGACAACCAGGAGACCTTTGCTCTTACCAGGTTTTAACAACATTTCTTGAACATCTGTGTGGGATAGCCTCTGCCACCATTTATTAATAACTTATAAACTGTTAGCATTCCATTCTCAACACCTGAAGGAAGCAGGCATTACTATCCTCCTTTATAGACATGATCTCTCAGTGCAAGTCAGTTTACACCCACAGGGCCTTCTCCTGGCACCTCGGGCTGGGTTTGCACCAAGTCCCCTTGCTGCTCCAAGAACTGACTTGCTCCCCCTCACCTAAGTGTCTGCCTTGAAAGTCATGACTGCTTAGGAACAGAGTCCTACTCGTTGTTCTTTCAGATCCTTCCTACTCCTCCTAACTACCAGCCCTGTGATCTATGCTGGTTCTGTCAGAGCTCTCCAATGACCTGCAAGATGGTATACTATCTGCTACCACTGAGGCAACGTTCAACCCACCTGCCTTTTTTTTGGTACTGGAAACTGAACTCAGGGGTGCTTTACCATGAACCACATCTCTAGCCCTTTTAGTTTTTGAGAGAGGGCCTTGCTAAGTTGCTTAGTGCCTCACCAAGTTACTGAGACTGGCCTCAAATTTATAGTCCTCCTACCTCAGGCTCCCAAATTCCTGAGATTACAGGTGTGCACCATCATAACTAACTTTTTTCTTTTTTTTCCTTTTTGGCACTGAGAATTGAACCCAGGGATGCTTTAAATTTTGAGATCAAGTCCAAGTTGTTTAGATTGGTTTTGAATTTGCAATCCTCCTGCCTCAGCCTCAGGAATTATAGGCATGCACTACTACACCCAACTTGCCTTCTGCTGCCTAATACAAGAATCTTCCCAGATCAGTTGTGATACACTCTAGCTAGACCTGAGAATCCTGGAGACCCTGCTACCTCAAGCCAAAGGAACACTCACTTTTAATGCCTCCCAAGTGATTTGCTAGGTTGCAAACCACGATCATCCACCACTGGCTCTCTCCTGTCCCCAGATGTCCCCATTTCCATACAGACCAGTCTCTTTCCATTCCAAGAGGAAACCTTATGGTATAGTTAGTCCAGGTGTCCAGTCCCAAGGCCAGTGATTTAGCTACAAGGGAGGACCTCCTGACTTCCTAAGTCTCAATTAACAGACTTTTGAAAGGATGTCATGATATTTCATACCTCTCCTTCGGCCCCAATTCCAGACAGCATCTTTGAAACATTAAAAGCCACACGCTTCTTCTGTGTGCTGTACACCCTCAATACCCTRAAGAAAGAATAGATTTTCCTCTTCTAGCAAATGAATTATGATTCATACAGAAGCAATCTATTACCATCTATGACTGCCCCAAGGAATCAGAGTCTGCAGACCAGTACCACTGACATTTAGACTTAATTGAAGAATTATGACAGATTGGCAAATATTAACCACCTTAAGGAAACAGCAGTGGTAAAAATGTCACAATTTTATTTTCAGTGCATGTTTCAACTTCTCAAGTGAGACACACTTCAGGCCGTCTTGTGTTTCAGGTCTTAGATATTTGTCCCAGTGGCAATTTGTATGAGTATAGTGAAGTTTGTTTTGTGTTAAAAGAGTCTCACTCTTGGAGAGTTAGAACATAATAGGAACTCCAGCAGAAAATCTGGTTGTTAACTCATATTATTCTTACTAACCAATCAAACTGGTTACTCCTGATTGCCTGAACAAAACACAAATATCATAAAATAAATGGCATCCAGAATACAACAGGAGAGTCTATGAAAAATAAACACTAACTCCTACATGTTGCTTTTAGGCCAGGGTTATATTAAATTCAATTTTTTAGTTAAAAGTAGTTGGATGAATATTTAAAAGAACTATTATGTTAAACTACTTTGTTCTATGTTCCCAGATATTAAAGCTTAAATATACTACATATAATTATAATAAGAATCTAATTGTATTACTAAATAATAATTTACATAATATATAAGCTCTAGGTTATGATTTCTAATCTATTTAAATGCGCTTACATCAATTTTATTAAAATATTCATTGAATTAAAAACTTGGAACTTAATGGGTTAAATAATACACCTGGAACTCCAGATCTTTTTTAACCCTTTGTTCCAAGAACATAATTAAATGCAATTGTACCAATAAATACAGCAACAAGACTTCTTTTCAAGAAGGACAAAATATTTAGTTTCTATTAAATTTAAATGCAGTCATTAAAAATTTAAATGGAGTCATTAAAAATCACTATACTAGTAACTATCATCAAAAAGTAAAATATAGGAGCTGGGGCTGTAGCTCAGTGGTGGAGCACTTGCCTCGAAGTATGAGAGACACTGGGTTCGATCCTCAGCAATACATAAAAATAGGTAAATAAAATAAAGGTATTGTGTCCATCTACAACTAATACAAATTTAAAAAAAAAAAGTCAAATATAGGAGTTAGGGATATGGCTCAGTGATAGAGCACTGACATAACATGCATGAAACCCCAAATCCAATCTCCATCACCACAAAAAAAAGAGAGAGAGAGAGAGAGAGCGAGCGCTAAATAAATACTCCAACTAGCTTTTTTTGTTTAAGTCATATTCATGAAAGACTTTTTTTGGGGGGGAGGCAAACTCTTTTTTTTTTTTTTT